CAGCAACCCCCCACCCCACCCCCCAAAACCAACATTTTATTGCGGATTCGAGGTGGTTTGCCGAGCGCAGAACGACCCTGTTTTCAAAAAAAAAAATAAAAAAATCTGGGCGTTTTTTTGGCCCGCCCGGTTTACCCTGGAGGGTCATTCAGCACTTGCATGCTGGCAGCTGCGCTGCTGGAGCGGACACTCGTAGGCTGCTGCTGGCGCTGAGAGGCAAGCTGCTAGCGCGTGCGGTCGTGCAGGAAGCAGGGCGCTCCTGAGGGCATTGACATAGCCCAACCTCCATAGCTGGATGCGCTTGGACTGCAGTGAGGTGCAGGGGTGGTCTTCGGGTGTACAGAGGGAAGTCGTGGGAGCAAGTCAGGGGAGAGAGAGAAGGATGATCATGATGATGAAGTGCGAGGCCGTCAGCTGTCAATTTCGTATTTGGGGTTGAGGCAGTTGTGACGCGCAAGTTGGTTGAGGAAAACACAAGCCGAGCAGCAAAGACATTCCATGGCCTTCCAGGCCATTCCGAAAATGCAGGCCCTGGGCGAGAATCGCAGCCTCATACACAGACAGTTGGGAGGCCCAACTGAATGAGGCCCAGTGGCTGCAACAGAGGCGCAGCCTCCCGGGGCCTACCGGAAGCTTCTGGGCCGTGGCCCAGGCCAGCCAGGCCCGAAGGCAGGCAGGCTCTTCCCATATAGGAAAGAGCTCGCGGCCTGGACGGTCATTCAGCACTTGCATGCTGGTGGCAGCGCTGCTGGAGCGGACGCTAGTAGGCTGCTGCTGGCGCTGAGAGGCAAGCTGCTAGCACGTGCGGTCGTGCAGGAAGCAGGGCGCTGCTGAGGGCAGCGCCATAGCCCAGCCTCCATAGCTGGATGGCTTGGACTACAGTGAGGCGCAGGGGTGGTCTTCGGGTGTACAGAAGGGAGACGTGGGAGTAAGTCAGGGGAGAGAGAGAAGAAGGATGATGATGATGATGTGAGGTCACATACCTGGCATTGGTGATGGTCTGCATTGGGCGACATCTTCAAGTACTTCGTGGGCTGTTGACGTCAACAGTTGCATTGTCATTTAGTAGGCAGATAGTAGCTGTGTAGGAGGTAGGCTGGGCGCCGAGCGCCAAGAAGGGAGAAAGGGCCTGGACACTTATTTTGGTGGTGGCGAGAGCAAGCTCTCATTGACATTGGTTTTCAGTGTTACGATTCTTCATTGGTGTTATATTGGTGCAATTCTGCTTTCTGGACACTGTGATACTATCTGGCCTTCAATGTGATTGTGCATTCTGGATATTGTCATCTCGCTGTTGCTCATTTTCCTTGCACATGTACATCCTGATACATACAAAATGGCACAGAGCACCGCAGTGGAAGACTCAAAGATAAGTCCTGACCTAACTAGGACTGACGCAACATCCCATCATACACCACACATGTGAGAGGAGGCGGAGGAACCTGCATACATGGAAGAAAGGTCCCTCCTCGACTGCACACACGGGGGAGATACCACGGATGAGAGATGGGGGGAGAGGGGAGACGAAGGAGGCGAGGGAGAAGACCAAGATCGCGATAGCGAAGTCCTAAAATAGTCCCTTGCCGAATGTCCAATCAATGTCTGCCTCAAAAGTGTCAGATCAGATCCCGAGCGTTATGGCCACTGTAACCTCTGCCTGTATCTTCTGTTCTGTCTGTAACCTCTCTCTCTCTCTCTCTCTCTGAAGAAGCAGAAGAAGAAGAAGAAGAAGAAGAAGAAGAAGAAGAAGAAGAAGAAGAAGAAGAGGAGGAGGAAGGAGAAGAAGAGGAGGAGGAAGGAGAGAGACAAGAGGGAGACCGAAGAAGAAGAAGAAGATGTCGTCTTCCTCGCTGTCTCACCTGGGCACCGCCGTACTGACCGCCGCTGTATCGTCGTTGTGTGCAGGTGGCGTGCGTGGGGAGTCCCAGCTATGGCGCTAGGTAAGCTCCCCCACTGCAGATATGGCCTCCGCCCCTCTGCCTTCATATGCTCTGCCCCTAACCTCTCAGCGCAGCGCCAAGCAGCGCAGCGTTAAACCAGCAGCGTTTCACTTAAGAAGTGAGCTACTCGAACTGTGTGCAGTCTGGCCGTGGACCAGCTATCTATAGCGCTGGGCCGGCTGGTCTGCCTACCATGTGCGTACCTGTGTGGCCTCAACATTTGCCCAAGACGAGGGCCAACAGGGTCTGGGTCCCGACCGGACGTCCGGTCGGGACCCAGACCCTGTACCCAGCCCAAGGTACCGCCTTGGGGGCTCAAGGTCCGAAACGACGTCTGAACGGACAAAAATAGGACAGCAAATAAATAAATAAATGCTGCCTCATCTCGTATCTATGGCCTGGAAGGCCGCCGTGGGTCTCAAGGGTGAGTGTCGGATGGAAACGCGGCCTGGGGGGCCCTCAGCAACCGTCGGGCCCCTCAAATGGGGCTCGTGTGCAGGCGCAGCATGTAACACATGTGGACCGTTTGCTGGAATGTATATAGGCTAGAGTCGTAGGGCCTAGGAAGTAAGATGAATCTTGAGGACACCAGTAGGAAGGCTCTATTGTCGTTGTATTGATGATTGGAAGTGGTAAAAGAGCTTTCCTTATAAAGAGAGTGGCTCGTTCGTATTTGGTGTGCATTTCGCTTTGATTTCAATTTGGTTCAATTATCTCTACTCTTCTTTGAGATGTCGAAATCTGGTGTATTGTTGTTCTCATTGCTTATTCCTTTTTCTTCATGAAAAAACTAAGCTATATTCTTCTCTCAATTTCACCTTTCACTACTAAGCTATACTCTTCTCTCAATTTCACCTTTCACTACCTACCTACCACTACTCTTAAGCCTATACAGGGGATCCCTGCAAGCATAGCTACCTGCCTCCCACCCTAATTGGCAGTGGTCAGGGAGTAGGGTAGAGGCGCTGTGCGGGTGGGGGTGGCATAGATTTGTGCGGGTGGCATAGATCCCTGCAAACGCAAAGACCGAGCATTTTGTCAGTAGCTGCTTTCCTTGCATGGGCGGGATACGGGAATAATTTGAGCACTTTACAGCCTGCCTCCTTCACCCAGTTGAGCGCCAGGCCTGCAGTTAGCCCAAGCACAGCCGCACAGGCCTGCCCAGCCAGGCAACTTTTTAGCATAGGGAATTGATGTATTTTCAAACTATTTGAACAGAAGCAGGACCTTGACATCCGGACCTAGACATCCACACGGTGCAGATTAACAGCCCACATGGCCAGCCACACCCGAGCCAAGGGGTCATTGGGGAACCCGCCTGAGAAACCATGCGGGTCAAGAAAGAGACGAGGATCCGAAAAAAAAAGAAAATCTGACTTCAGGGCAGGACTGCATTGGCCTCAGACATCAGAATCTGGGCTGATCTTCCGATTTGCTGATGGGTTACCAAGGGCAGGTTGAGGGATATCAACTTACTGCAAACAGGTTATAAATTGGTTCAACAGGGTGGTACATCTTAACTCCTGTTTTCTATTTATATTTTCAACCACCACTACCTCCAAACCTCTTTTTCCCGTAGCAGATTTGTATTTTCAACCACCACTACCTCCAAATTTTATTGCAATCAACAAGCAAAGTCAGTGCTTTCCAGCCTGGGCGCCCGGGCCACCCCAGGTCGCCCAGAAGGGCACTCGGGGCGCCCGGCCGTGCGACCCCCCGGCCAGGCCCCCGGACCTCCACAGCGCCGCCCCCAAAATCGCTTCGGATTTTTTTTTTTGCGCTGCAGGCTGAAGGCCCAGAGGGAAAAAAAATAAAAACTGGCGGCCGGCCCAATATTTTTTGGGATCCAGTAGGCCCCGTTTCTCAGGTTTTGTTTTTGGGGGACCTGGGCAGTCGATCTGCGTTGATCGATGGCGCGGAAGTCCCAAGATTTTGAATTCGAATCTTGGGGACTTACCACGCGGCCCTGCGCCCTCCGCCCTACCCCCCCGCACCAGCTTGTTGTTTCCCCGCCGTTGTTGCATGGTCGTCCGCGCCATCGTTATCTTCACCCTGCCGAGCCTTCGTCGTCATCACCCTGCTGCACTCCGGCGCGCCACCATCGTCGCCGTCCAGCCGCGCCATCCTCCTTGTCCCTGACCAAGACTGCCTGCGCCGCCATCACCAACTTAGGTCAGTATTCTTCTTCTTCTTCTTCTTCTTCTTCTTCTTCTTCTTCTTCTTCTTCTTCTTCTACTTGTTCTTCTTCATCTCTACTACGTATTTGTTTGTTCTTCATTTTGTCGCATTCTTCTTCCTCTCCTTCTTCTCCTCCATTCCCTTGTGTTCTTTTCCTTCTTCGTTGTTTCTTCGTCTTCTTTTCTTTTTTTCTTTGTCGTTTCTTCTTCTATTTGTTCTTATTCTTCATCAGTTCTTTTTCTTCTTCTTCTTCTTCTTCTTCTTCTTCTTCTTCTTCTTCTTCTTCTTCTTCTTCTGCTATCCACTTCTTCCTCCCTGTTTCTTCCTCTGCCATAGCGCTTCATCAACAAATCGTCATCTTTTTTTTTTCTTTGGGAATGCTTGATTATGCTTCTGCTCCGTCTGCCATAGCCTCCCTCCTCCCTCCATAGACTCCCTCCCCCCTCCTCCTCCATCAGTCTCCCTTCCCTGTCCTCCTCCCTCGTTAGGCTCCCTCCCTCCATCAGTCTCCCTTCCCCCTCCGCCTCCCTCCGTAGGCTCGCTCCATAGGCTCCGCTCCCTCCTCCTTCTTCCCTTCTTCTTCATCTTCTTCTTCCTCCTCTTCTTACTCTCTCCCTCTTCTTTTTCTTCTTCCCTTCTTCTTCGTCATCTTCTTCCTCCTCTTCTTACTCTCTCCCTCTTCTTCCCTTCTTCTTCGTCATCTTCTTCCTCCTCTTCTT